CGCCGCGTCCACACGTTGGGAGCGAGTTTAGTTTGCTACAAGCTCCCAGAGTGATTACACGCATCTGATTAAAATTTTATATTCACGCTTTGTAGGGTGGATGACCCAATTACCAGCCTTTTAGTGCAATTTCCACTTTAAACATTCCTACTACTTTAATTAGCGCGATTTAATTATTTTTAAACATTTGTTTTAATCGATAAGCTATTTATAAAAAATAATGAACATTTATTTACAATCAGATTATTACGAGAACAATTTTAAAATGAAAAAAAAAAAACAAAATGAAGCACGTCGTTTATATGTGGTAGAACCATGCAGAAGTATAGTTGTAGCACGAATGGGTCGGTTCGACCGGGGAAGGATCACGCTCTCACAGAATATCAATGTAAAATAGTACCTTAATGATGCTGTGTTTCGTATAGAGAGTGTAGAGAATCAGAGACACTTTTTAAAGGAAACGATGCATTTCATCTTAGTCCTCACGGATGACAACGCATCTGCATTTTGATTCGTAATCGAGGATAGATGTAGATATCTGTGGGCCACAGCACCCACTTACCATCAAGTGAACTGTGTGCTCGTTGTCACCCTATCCTATATAAAAAAGCGTCGATTTCTTATAATTTAATCGTGCAAGTTTTCGAATCATCATCATCGTTACAGCTCTTCACAAGTCCACTACTGAACATCCTCCTCCACAGACTGCCGCAAAGCATGGTCCTGAGCCAATTTGCTCGTCATGAGTTTTTCATTTATGTTCTAAGTTATAATTAGTACCTATTATTAAGTCACCTATTGTTAATTGTTAATTATATTTATTGCTATTGTTTTTGTCTTTCTCAAAAAATAATTAAATTACCAAATAAATTATAGGGTGTTTTTATATACATCAAATGTCTGACAGAAATGCAAGTACATATTTTGCTAAACTTTAAAATCAAAACCCAATTTTAAAACATAGACTAATCGATTATAACTCCTTTAGCTTTAAAATAAGTTAAGTTCTTATTAATGGTATTTATTCCAGTTTATGATGCATGTAAAGAATAAATAAAGCTAATCGTATATCGTATATCTATTTACAACCCCATTAATATACACTATTATTTTATAATTCTTTTATAAAAACGTTAACCCCACACTAGGATTTTCTCCCGTATCGCGCAGGCAGCTTACAAACATAAATTGCACATGGACACACATCCAGACCCGAAACAATTATTTGTAGGACATACAAATACTTGTTCCGTGCGGGATCAAACCCGCGGCGCCCGGCGCAGCCACTCATTGCTGAGCCACTGCGCCACGGTGCTTATAAATTCGTCCGCACATTGGCCCGAACCGAAGTAAACTGAACGAGCTTCCAACGTGTGGACGCCATCACCAGCTCTCTGCCAATATATTCGCCACTCCATTCGCCACTGTGTTGGCCAACGTGTAGAGGCGACATAAGAATACTTAGTTCTTTGTTCGTAGGAGACATTGTTTAGAAAGGAAATGGTTCTTGTACAGTTCTTGGCAATGTTGTCTTTAAATAATTTATAGAATTAGGAGTTATTTTGCGGATATACCTTAAAAAGTAAAGATCCGTATAAAAACTAAAAAAATAGCTTTTAATAAATAGTGGCAACAAGCTTTAAACAACAAATAAAATTAATTTTTCACATTCTTAAATCGGTGCCAAGACATGACATTATACGTGGTAGAGCCATGCTGCAGTTATATTAGATGTATAGTTGTAGCACGAATGGGTCGGCTCGACCGGGGAAGGACCACGCTCTCACAGAATACCAGCGTGAAATAGTAGCTTAATGCTGCTGTATTTCGTATGGTGAGTGTAGAGAACCGGCGACCCATTTTACTGGAAACGAGGCATTCCATCTTAGTCCTCACGGGTGACAACACATCTGCATTTTGATTCGTAATCGAGGATAGATGTAGATGTCTATGGGCCACAGCAACCACTTACCATCAGGTGGACTGTGTGCTCGATTGTCACCCTATCCTATAAAAAAAAATGTTGTATGGATGATTCAATAATACTTTACATTGGTACTGGTACTTATATATATATATATATATACTTTATGCGTGGTAGAGTAGTCGGCTCGACTGGGAAAGGACTACGCTCTCGCTCGCTCGCACAGAATACCAGCGTCAAATGCTTCTGTGTTTCGTATGGTGAGTGTAGAGAACCGGAAACCCTTTTAACTGGAAACGAGGCATTCCACGGGTCACAACGTCGTCACGGGTGACAACGCATCTGCATTTTGATTCGTAATCGAGGATAGAGATAAGGATAGAGGAGGAGAGAGGAGGATAGTTGTAGATGTGTATGGGCCACAGCAACCACTTACCATCAGGTGGACTGTGTGCTCATTTCTCACCCTATCCTATTAGAAAAATACTCCGACTTCAGAATGTGAAATAAGGTAGGTGAACGTACTATGGTCATCTTAAGCTTTACCGCCCTATAAGACCAAAACTAGGAGAAGGACAGACACCAAAACACAAAATCGTATGCTATAACTATATAATACTATAACTATATAACTATATATAACTAACTAATATATAAAGAAAAAAATAGCAAACAAGCTTTGGCAATAATTAGGAACACTACGAAAAATCAATTTAAAAAAAAACTAACAACACTACACAATGATAAAATCGACTAAAATATTTACTATCATGTTATCTGTGAAAATAATGTCGATAAAGCAGCCCCTTTTTGAGACTTTATTATTTGATTGACTGATGAAGAGCTATCGTATCACACAGCTTTCTATGTCAAAATTTTGCGTAATAAGAAAGTGACCATATTAACCGGCTGACCATATTACCCCCACATAATATTTTTTTTGTTTAAAGTCGGATTTTACTAAAAAAGTAAAACATTTATTAATAAATCAACACACTTAAGGGTGGAATTTCTCTTCCAAATTTATATGGGACCACTCCTGAATAATTATCAAAATTGGTTCACAATTGACGAAGATAGACAAAATAACATAGAGTCGAATTGAGAACTTCCTTTTTAAAGTTGGTTAAATTGATGTGTTCACGTAAATCTCAGTTAATTAATTATAACATCTTTAATTACCGTCTTCATTAGGGACATCACTAGCTCCACGAAGGTAGTCTTCAATATGCCTGCTTTCAAAACCTACTTAAAATTTTATGATAATCTGGTGTTTTTTCTTATAGTGATTCTGATTTCATTAAAATTAATATAATAAATCAGAATAATGTCAATAAGATTTTGCCTTTGCTTATTGTTTGATCTGAAAGCTGAACGGCTCCACGAACTGAACGATTCCCTAGAAATGTGTAATATTTCCAGTGCCAATCCGTCCAATATGTTCCGAATGGCTAACGCAAATGCATTAGATAATCTTAAATTAGTTTGCATATTTTATATGCCTACTAAATATTTGGAATGAAAAGGGAAACATACTAAAGTCTATGACAGGTATTTATTATAACTCACAAAAATATTTATTTACACATGAAACAAGAAACAAAAGCTCTTAGCATAAGTTGTATCATCTAAGAAATTATCAATGTTATTGTAAAATGTTTTCTATACGACTATACAAGTAAGACTAGACTGATAATAATTGATTATTAAAAGTAATAATAAAATAATTACAGCCTAAATGTTTTTTAATTATATTGCACATGAAATTACTACTGACTAGATATATGACTTATTTCATCATCATCATTATCATTACAGCCCTTCACAAGTTCACTGCTGAACATAGGCCGCCCTCAAGGAATGCCACAAAGCACTGTCCTAAGCCACCAGCATACGCCGACTTCCTGCATGCCTTGCGAAAGAATTTATTATCGAATACAAAATGCACGGGTTGTACATACCAATATTTACAATTTTTATTACGTGTTAGGTTAGAGCGTATTAAGGTTGCAGAAGAAATAGTTGGGCTCGACCGTGGAAGGTCCACGCTTGCACATAATACCAACAAGCAATAGCAGCATAACGCTACCGTGTTTCGTATATTAAAGTAACGAGAACCGGAAACGCTTATTAATTTGGTAATGTAACATTCCGTCTAAGTCCTCAGAGGTGACAACGCATCTACACTTTAACTCTTAATCAAGGATAGTAGCAAGGATTTAAGTGTCGATTGGCCACAACTACAGAAATCGTAATAATAAGACAATATTATTACTATTTCTGTGGGCACAACTTACGCTTAGGTACGCGCTTGTCACCCATATTCTATAACGAGCAAAAAAAAAATGATAAAATTACATTAACACTATAAACATGTATTTTACTATAATAGACTTATTGCTTGTGACACGCGTCATTTAAAATATTTACAAATTCGTTATTTACAATTACTTAAGTTTTAACTCGTTCTCACGATGATGCTTTGTATTGACTACACATTGTATGATCATAATTTTCATGACAACTATTCTATCATTCGTTCTGGTACACGGATTTCAAAAAAAAAATCAAGTAAATCACAGACACAGGCAGTTATTACATAACCTACTATAAGTTAACCTTAAATATTTAATATATTTATCTTTACTTTAACATAGCTCGTGTTTTTAAAAACATTAATTTGTATCCACATGGATAATGATTCTATTACAATAAAATATGTGACTAGTTTCGTTACAACTTAGCATCTACTATGTTATGATAATTGTATCTGGTAATAACATAACTTCGTTCCTCACGTGGTGGCGGCTTAAGAGAGTCAACTATGCAATACTAAAATCTCAGGAAGATCTTACATTACCCACATAGATGTCGCTGTAAGCGTCTCGTATATGCAAGTTATAAAATATGAAGACCGGCGATGGAAAGTGGCAACAAAGGTGAACCTGGCTCTGTAGATGCCAATTCGTAAGACAATAACATATTACCATAAATTTTAGAAGCTAATTAATTAATTAATGATGAAGAAGTAAAACTTTTTTTCGTAACATGTTCACCTAAATATATAAAATTTCGCTTAAACCAGTTCTTCATAACTTTCATTGAAACCTTGTTGCATGTCATCACTATCGAAATTTGAAGTTGAGTCTTTTGGGCTAGTAGCAGTTTCTTTCTGTGCCAGCAACCGGTCGCAGTCATTAAGACGACCATGCAGTACATCGTACACTCTCGACATTGAAGCTACCTTTTCTTTGCAAGAAGGATCGGTTTCGATAGCAAAAAGACGGGAATCTAACAACTTGATAGCTGCCACAATATAATTCCTCAATGTTTTTGTTTTGTGCTCGCTGCTAATTCGCTCTAAAAACGCACATACTTGCCTTTCTCCACATAAAAGGACATCTACGTCATAAGCAAGCGGTGAGTGTTGTCGATGAAGATAGGAAATCAATCGTTTCGCATAACGTCTATAAGTTCGATAGGTTTTTCGTTTTCTCTGCCCAAGTTTCCTCCCCATCGTCATTGACTTCTTCATGTCATCAATTACTGCTTTGTATCCTGCATCTATTTTTGAATCAAATATATCGCGTAACCGTGTTTCTACTGGTGGTAATTCATAAGGAGCGGGAGAAGGTGGTAACGAAGGAGATGACGGTGGAGGAGATGGCGGTAAAGAAGTCGTTCTAGCATTTTCTTCCCCACTGGATTCACTTGAAACTCTGCTTGTTGTCCCTGGACTGCTTTCTGGTGGTGGGTAAGGTCGTGGTCGGTTTCGAGGTCTTGTTACTCGGGCAGGGCGCGGAGCAGTTCTAGCATTGTAGGCTGTTAAGACATTAGCATCTTGTTCAGTAAGTGGTCTAGCTCGTTGTGAGGCAGCAAGCGGAATAATTCTTATTTTGACAAGAGCGTAACTTTGGTGAATTTTCGCTTTGATCCGAGGATCTTCGTAATCTGCTCCCCAAAGGTCACGAATGGCAGATTCTTTGAGGTAGCGCACTTGACATAGCTCACCGTTAAAGAAACGTTTTCGCTGTTGTTCGTTAAGAGTGTCTCTTTCGGCACCTGTTAAACCATGAATTTTGGTAAGATGGTCAGGAAGTTTTCCATAAGTGAAACGTGCACAGTCTTCTATGGGGCAGGGGATATTAGCATGATTTTGTTTCTTAGTGCGCGTTGTTGTCGTAGCTGGTTGCGTGGTCATCGTATTAGTTTCAATATCTGTAACAAATAATATTTTATGAACTTTTTTTGATAAAGTCGGAGCACGTTTTTACGTGGTAGAGCCACGCTGCAGCTATATTTTAGTTTTAGCACAAATGGGTAGCCTCGACCGGGGCAGGAGCACGCTCTCACAGAATACCAGCGTATATACCAGCAGCGTAATGTTGCTGTGTTTCGTATGGTAGGTGTACAGAACTGGAGACCCTATTTACTGGAATTGAGGCATTCCATCTAAATCCTCAGGAGTGACAACGCATTTAAATTTTGATCGTTAGTTGAGGATAAATGTGGATGTCCATGGGCAACAGCATCCACTTACCATCACGTGGACTGTGTGCTCGTTTGTCACCAAGTGATATAAAAAACATATAAATATAAGTAGTTACATGAGAGGAAATACACTTTAATTTCATATTTTGGGAATAGTTAATTTTTAAGTTCTTTTTTACGACTATTGTAGGAAAAATATCTGATGTTCTCCTGGCTGATTTCTACCACGGTGACAACTTTCGATTACTGTTAAAAGGTATTGAGTTAGTTTCGTATGCTTGTAACACTTCTGGGCTTAAAACAAACAAAATAGTATAAGTCAGTGGTCCTTAATCTGAGGTTCATGGACCACTGGCGATCGATAAAGGCACCCGAAGGTTCGTCAGAGCACCATACATTTATTTTCACATTTTGTAATACTATTTCAAAAACAACTTTTCTTTTTAAAAGCTTTTATTTAACTTGCAATATATTATGTTTGTTAGGGTCAAATCTGAAAACATGTTTAATTTGAATAACAATGCATGATTAGCTAAGTGACGTCATACTAAATCCAATATGGCGGACGGCTCAAGATGGCGGTCCAGTTATTTTCTATGCACTCTATTGATATGGGTATCAAATGAAAGGGTTTGCTGAGAAGAATAAGAAAATAAAATGCTGTCACTCTAAATCAAATATAGTGGACTTTTTTATAGGAGAGGGGGCAAACGAGAATACGGCTCACCTGATGGTAAGTAATTATCGCCACCCATATATACCATACATATATACCATAGATGCGATAAAACAAGCAAAGAGATGCAACATCTTTTCGCAGTGCCAGTGAGTCAAGTCGGAAAGGTCGGTCGCCAACGATTCGAACAGCTCTGCGCTGAATGCGATCAAATGGAAGGATCTGGCACTGGGTGCCCCAGCCCAGAGATGGGAATGTTACTTCTGAGCCGGCATGAAATACTGTCCCGCTCTGTTAAGCACGCCAAGCTTTTTGGCCAGAGGCCAATTTGGCCCTCTCTTCCAAGTGACCACGAAACTGCGCGTCAACGTTCTCGACGCATGTCGACGCCGAGGATTTCCGATACTGGGTGAGGCAACCAGGGGAGTGCGACGTTTTCTTGAAAGAGGAGATATAAGACCAAGTGGTGTCTGCATAAATGCTAAATTTTAGTGGTAAACGCGCAAACTTGTGTCTTCTGGATTAGATTTAGGATCGAGGAGATGTGCACAACTACCGGAGTAAACGGTAGGATTTAGCGGGGCGCGTCTTAACCTTTGAATATTAAATCAATCAAAGGTCTTAACCAATATCGGCCTACATCATGTGCAAATCCTAGCAGTGGCGAAAAAAAATCAAAATGGCGGAAAAGAGATTAGCGGTTGTACTAATTTTAAAGAGTGTTATATATAACTCGGCATAGGTTAGGAATAGTTTGGTGATACTCGAACAAATATTGTTGGGACCCGCAAGGATTGACTGCTGGCAATGAAAATATCAATATGGTGGATCTAAGATGGCGATCAAAACCAACAATGACGCGTTAAATAATAGTACCTGGATGACCGAGCTTTGCTCGGTTTTTTTTTTCGAAATTACATTTAGATACAAATTACATACTGATGAATAATATTTTTTGATCTTATTGACATAATAGAAAAAACTGAACTGGTTATTTGAATAAAAAAATCATGAGTGCAATTAATTTTATTAAAATTTTCGTATTTTTAAAAATTACTAAAAAAGGGGCTTAAAATAATAGATTTTTTCACAAAAGAAGGGAACTTGAAAAAAAAAAAAGGAAAAAAGCTAGACCAGAGACAGGACGCCAACCAAGGAACTCCGATATCACGCCTGACCAACATCCCACCTGAGCTATAACGATCGTTAGTGATCTGTCGAAATTTATCTTCTTATAGTATAGCAGTTTATTTATTGCTTGAAAACACGGACAAAAGGACATTTTCTAAAAATAAATCCTAGCTAGATCAAGTTATTGCCCCCGAAACGCCCTGGACACTAAATTTTATGAAAATCGTTGGAGCCGTTTCCGAGATTCCGATTATATATATATATACAAGAATTGCTCGTTTAAAGGTATAGGATTACCAGATTTAAAACATGTAAAGCAATAAGTAAAAATAAAAATTAATTAGAAGTAAAAAAAAAGAAATAAGCTTTTATTGGAATGCTCTTAAAAGAAAAAATAAAATAAATCAAACCCCATTACATTCAATAAAAACATGTTTTTAAAATATTTTTTTACTATTAATTTATTAGTCGAAACGTTTTCGCTGTGTTGCTGTGTGTCGCGTACAGCGAAAACGTTAAGCGAATAGCAATGGCAAAAATATTTATCTAAATACAACATGATAGAACTCTAAACGGTATATGGAGCTATCTTTAGTCCAATAAGGCGTAGATTCAGCAGTAAAATTTAACGATGCAAAGAAGATTATGAAATATAAAGAAAATATTCAGATAAAACAGAATTGCAAATTAAGTTGGCAAGCAGAAAGCGTTAAAACAATACAAATGAGCGTGCCGGCAAGTCCAGTTAATTTATTTAGACGATGTTTATCGATACGGAGGGTGGCTGTCCGAGTATAATAATTGTGTTGACGGAGGCCGGAGGCTGTTTGCCCAGCACCGGGCCTCTTGTCCTCCATTTAATTTATTGAAAACAATGCGACTCCTTTACGGTACGAACTGCTGTTTAGCATCGACTTTTGAACATAAGGTATTTTCATTATGATTTTTCACTTTTTACGCATAAGTTCAACTTGTAAAGAAGTAAGTTAGATAAGTCTCAATGTGACGTAATTGCAAACTTTAAAGGATAAATCTCTCAAGAAAAAAACAATTGAAACAATTCTTTTGGTTTTCGCGGTACTCATCATCATCATCATCACAGCCCTTCACAAGTCCACTGCTGAACATAGGTCTCCCCCAAGTAATGCCACAAAGCACGGTCCTGAGCCACCTGCATCCATCGACTTCCTGCATATCTTACCAGGTCGTCACTCCATCTAGTAGGGGGTCGCCCTACACTACGCCTACCGGTACGAGGCTGCCACTCGAGAACCTTTCTTCCCCATCGGTTATCGGTTCTTCGAGCTATATGGCCGGCCCATTGCCACTTCAGCTTACTAATCCGTTGGGCTATGTCGGTCAATCTGGTTTTACTGCGGATATCCTCATTTCTGAGCCTATCACGCAGAGAAACTCCGAGCATAGCCCTCTCCATAGCTCGCTGAGCGACCTTGAGCGTCCTCATACGGCCAGCAGTGAAGGACCACGTCTCTGATCCGTAAGTCATCACTGGCAACACGCACTGGTTGTACACTTTAGTTTTCAGAGATTGAGGTATACCTGACGAGAAGATATGTCGTAATTTCCCGAACGCTGCCCAGCCGAGTTGAATCCGTCGATTGACCTCTCGGTCGAAGTTGGACTTACCTAGTCGGAATATTTGTCCCAGGTAAACGTACTCGTCAACAACTTCGAGCATAGTGCTTCCAACAACTACCGGCATAGGTGTGACATGGACATTAAACATAATCTTTGTTTTGTCCATGTTCATCTTAAGACCTATCCGTTGGGAGGCACTATTGAGGTCATTGAGCATAGTGCTTAAGTCCTCCAGCGATTCTGCCATAAGGACTATATCGTCGGCAAATCGAAGGTGAGTGATGTACTCGCCATTGATGTTAATACCGTATCCTTTCCAGTCCAGTAGCTTGAAAACGTCTTCCAAAGCAGCGGTGAAGAGTTTCGGGGATATAACGTCACCCTGTCTTACACCTCTCTGCAGTTGGATAGGTTTCGAGCTCTGGTTCTGTACTCGGATAGCCATCGTAGCTCTACTGTACAAACACTTCAGCACTTCGATATACCGACAGTCAACTTGGCACCGCTGAAGGGACTGCAGCACCGCCCAAATTTCGACGGAATCAAAGGCTTTCTCATAGTCCACATACGCCAGGCAAAGTGGCAAATTGTACTCTTCAGTCTTCTGTACAATCTGCCGCAGGGTATGTATGTGGTCTATGGTACTGAAGCCTTTTCGGAAACCGGCTTGTTCGGGAGGCTGGAAGTCGTCGAGTCTGCGTGCGAGACGATTCGTAATGACTCTCGAAAACAGCACGTAGACGCGGCTCAGAAGGGAAATCGGTCTGTAGTTCTTCAAGAGAGCGTTGTCGCCTTTCTTAAAGAACAAGACCACCGCACTTCTGCTCCACGCCTCCGGAGTAGTGCCACCATGGAGGACGGAATTGAAGAGCTTCTGAAGGACTTCAAGTACCGGTGTTCCACCCGCTTTCAGAAGCTCCGCTGTAATTCCATCCTCGCCTGGGGCCCTGCCGTTTTTAAGGTGCTGGAGAGCCATTCTAATCTCGCTTAGACTGACGTCCGGGATATCATCGGAATAGTGTCGGATAAGACTTGCTCTTGGATCGTTACTCACACTTGCGTGTGGCTCCAACGATGATGTGTACAGCTGCCCATAGAACCTCTCAATCTCACTCAAAATCTCAGGTGTCCCGGAAACGATGCTGCCACACTCAGTCTTCAGCCTTGACAGTTGGCTCTTTCTGGCAGACAGATCTCTGGCAAAGACTTTGGAGCCCTGGTTCCGCTCGATCGCTTCTTTAATACGAGCAGTATTAAAGTTGCGTAAGTCTCGCCGTATGCATTTGGAGATCTGTCTGTTCAGT